CTGGCAAACGAAAGGCAATCAGATTGGGTGGTGGAGAAAATGGCTGGAAGGTGGGTGTAGGAGGTGCCGAGTGGGTGTAGGAGGTGCCGAGTGGGTGTAGGAGGTGCCGAGTGGGTGTAAGTAGGATTGGGCAGGTGAAGGAATGACTTAGTAGGCGGAAATTTTTGTCTCTGTACGCGCGCGCGCACACACACACACACACACACACACTTAAAAAAAATTATATTCCAACAAGTAATATTTGTCTTCAGCGGATTATATCAATCTATTTATCTATGAATATATAATAGACTGTACAATAGACTATACATTATATTTATTCATTGTTGTCCCGTGAATAATAACCTTTTCTGACGCTCCCCTGACAGGTGTTAATGAAATGAATGACTGATTATGAATGAATGACTGATTATGAATGAATGAACGAATGAATGAGTAAACGAATGAATGAATGAAAACTCATCTATTAATGGACCAAGCTTACCAGATGACAACGAAAAAAAAATTAAAACCACGCAAAAAAAAAATACAATACATAAATGAACTTATGTATGAGGATTGCCTCGCCGTGTGCTGGTGTTCATCGCTCTCTTGGTTATGTTCTATCGCAGCTGTTCAATGGCCAGTTTACGAGAGGCGAAACTGAAGGGAATTGAGCGCCAAATTCTCAAAACGCGTAAAATAAATTGTCAAGCGGCGGCCACGATGTTGACACGGACCGACCAATACAAACACCCACTGAAGGATTACTAAATTCTGATTGGTTGTTTATTGGTGTGTACGGTATACAGCCGATATGATTGGGTGTTTGAGTAACAGCTCGTGTGTGATTGGTTGTTTAGTAGTAAATAAAGGGAGATTAAATGTTTCATAACTTTTTGATTCGTCACTCAAGAGGTAAACAAACGCGAAGTTTGGGTGTTTTAAAACCAACATCGCATTTAATTGGTCAAGTATTGGCAAATACGCGCAGTGATTGGGTGTTTAGTAACGATCCCTAGCTCTGATTGGTCTCTTAAGAGGCCAACAAGCGTTGATTGGATATTTCATAGCCATCCCTACTTCTGATTAGTCAATTAAGAGACCAACAAGCGAGATGATTGGACACTCAACAGCGATTCCAGCTTCCGATCGGTCACTTAGAGGCCAACAAGCGATATGATTGGATATTTCATAACCAGCTGCTGCGCCCGACTGGTGAGGGTCAGCTAAAGTGCCAATCACAGGTAAAATATGAAGCATTATGTTATCCTGACTCGTGGGCCAAACACCTGAGCTGTATCAATCACAACCACCATATATACTGGCTGGTCAAATGGGCCCTGTCCTTAAAGACCCCAACAACCTCACTATTAACACTGGGCCCCACTCCTAATTGCAAGGTCAGGGGCCCACCAGGACTCATGTGACCAGCAGGTAAATGATGTACTGAATAATGTAATGGCTGAGCAGTGTAAGGTCAGTTGGATGTCATTAAGAACTAATTACCACAGGAAGGCGACGACCTGTTAGTGTGTGTGTGTGTGTGTGTGTGTGTGTGTGTGTGTGTGTGTGTGTGTGTGTATAGTGTATGTGTGTGTATGTGTGTGTGTGTGTGTGTGTGTGTTACATTACCTTACATTACCATTTATACCTAAACCTGTACACAATAGAGTTGAGCATCAAAACATCTGAACCTGAAATAAAATAGATCTAAGGGACGAGAGATGAAGGTCACAATTATAGCATTATTAAGTCACTGTCAGATAACATTAGTCACTGTCAGATAACATTAGTCACTGTCAGATAACATTAGTCACTGTCAGATAACATTAATCACTGTCAAAATATTTAAGTCACTGTCAGAAACCACAAATCACTGTCAGAGTATAAGTCACTGTCAGAAAACATAAATCACTGTCACAAATCACAGTCAATACACAACACAAGACAGGCCAAGACACAGATACAATCAACATGCCTAAAAATATTAATCTTGCCTGGCGCTCTCAACACAAAACACACCTCTCATGGGTAAAAGGAAGCATCAGTTGACAGAACGACACACACACACACACACACACCCAGAGAGTCAAAGTGTGTCACCCAAGACCCAATCGATACATCAGTAGGTTCACACACTCTCTGGGGGGCGTCACGAGAGGCTGGATGCCCTATGTAACTACTCTTCCTTGGTCTAAATTTTTCAATGATTCACCAGTTAATTCCAATTTAATCTATCACCAAGTAATTTTATTCCTTAATGGAGAAAAATTGATGACTTTAGTTACTTATTAAATGTCACTTGAGGTTTAGCAATCATAAAAGTTCACATGATAAATATTCTTCAATTTATGTAAGAATGAGTTAAATTTTTTCAGTAAAACTAAAACAGAAAAAAATCAAGATTATACCTCGAGTCTTCATTAACTAACACAAGTTAAGGAGACAGTAAATGGTTAATACAGTTTTAGTATAATTATAAAGTGTTTAAACTCACAGTCGAACAATAGAGAGTATCAAGTTAAAGCAGTAGAGTCACAACACCATCCTGACGCCATTCTGAGTCATTTTTTTACGCCTCATTCCCAGTCAACCAGTCAGGTGTATTCTCTTATCTCAAGTTACGAGGAAAATTAATCGTAAACGCTTCTGTGGGTCCGGGAGGCACAGACGGTCATTATATCTGCCTTAACTCCCTCAGCAACCTGGTGTGATGGAGTGAGTGAGTGAGTGAGTGTGATGGAGGAGAGTGAGTGAGTGAGTGTGATGGAGGAGAGCGAGTGATTGAGTGAGTGAGTGAGACAGGTGGTCGCTTTTCCTCCCAGGTTATGACCCACATCCTGTTTCCAATGTGATGTATAGCGGTGAGTTTGTCTGTTGCATGTGTAAATAACCCCTGGAGTAATGACCACAACCACCACCACCAACTACAACCACCACCTCGCTCTCACGTGGAGGACAAGTCAAGCAGGGTTCGATCCCCAGGCAAGGTGAAACTATTGGCTAAAGTATCCTGACCCCATTTGCTTCTGTCTACCCAGCAATTAATGGGAACCTGGATATTAAATGACTTGTGGATTGTGGTAATGGTTAGCCAGTGCAGTAGGCGAGTTGTCCGGTCTCCTTGGTTTACTCCTTACAAGAGGGTCATACAGCTCGTTACCTTAGACCTTAGGATGTGGTTGTAGTGTTAGTGGCTTAACTAAACAAATTCATGATTAAGTTTAGATCCTAGGGCTGGCGAGGGGCACCTCTTACTAACCCGGGGCACCTCTTACTAGCCCGGGGCACCTCTTACTAGCCCGGGGCACCTCTTACTAGCCCGGGGCGCCTCTTACTAGCCCGGGGCACCTCTTACTAGCCCGGGGCACCTCTTACTAGCCCGGGGCACCTCTTACTAGCCCGGGGCACCTCTTACTAGCCCGGGGCGGCACAGGGCACCTCTTACTAGCCCGGGGCGCCTCTTACCAGCCCGGGGCACCTCTTACTAGCCCGGGGCACCTCTTACTAGCCCGGGGCGCCTCTTACTAGCCCGGGGCACCTCTTACTAGCCCGGGACACCTCTTACTAGCCCGGGGCACCTCTTACTAGCCCGGGGCACCTCTTACTAGCCATAGTTAACCCCGGGAGACTGTAATAACTCTCGCAGACTGTGTGTAGTACGAGTTAAACCAGACTGTGTGTAGTAAGAGTTAAACCAGACTGTGTGTAGTAAGAGTTAAACCAGACTGTGTGTAGTAAGAGTTAAACCAGACTGTGTGTAGTAAGAGTTAAACCAGACTGTGTGCAGTAAGAGTTAAACCAGACTGTGTGTAGTAAGAGTTAAACCAGACTGTGTGCAGTAAGAGTTAAACCAGACTGTGTGTAGTAAGAGTTAAACCAGACTGTGTGCAGTAAGAGTTAAACCAGACTGTGTGTAGTAACAGTAAACCCTGGATGACTGTGTCCGTAGAGTTAAAGCGCCTCAGGATCAGATTCTCAAAAGTTTCCCAAAAGGTGAATTATTTCCCCTAAGTTAAGTCGTGTACACAGTTGGTGAGGAGAGAGAGAGAGAGAGAGAAGATAGAAGAGAAAAAGAAAACGAAAGAGGAAACGGGAGAGAGAGAAAACGAAGGAAAAAAGAATATAAGAGAGAATGACAGAATTCCCAAGAATGTTAATCATTAGGGAGAAACAGAACAGTTATTAAATAGTAATGAAAGAGTAAACACAAAAACCACTTTACACAAGACACGATAAACCAGGAGGAAGTTATCGCCTTACGTCCACGATAAAAGTGTCTACCCCAAGCTAGATGTTGACCTGACCTGACCTGACCTGATTTCCAACATTTCCTGCCCCACCGACACACACACACACATCGATCCCTCACTGATAACGGTTCATCACTGTCTCACCGCTTACACACACACACACACACACACACGGGTTACACTCACAAAACAAATACTGCTTCATAATCACACACACATCCACGGGGGTTCGTTATAAGTAGCTTTACCTTCGATCTTTAGTGTTAAGAACAGTGAAGACATACGGTACTGAACGAAATAGTTACGTAGAAATTATTAAATCACTTCCTCAAAATAAAAATGTTCGGTAATTAGGTCGAGAGAATAATAATGTTAGTTTAGGTTAGGTTGGTTAGGTTAGGTTAGGTTAGGTTGGTCGCCGTGATTTACTCCGCCCTTGGTATAAATTAGGTTGTGTGATCTATCCGGTCATAACTTACATTCAAGAGAGATTTGTCCTTTATCAAACACCAGATAGGCGTACTATCCACCTATCCTAACGAAACCTAACCTAACCTAATCAAGCATAATGGGTAAGACACCGTTGATATAATAATAATCTGAGGTTGAAGTAATCATAACCACAACAGAGAGAAGAGCTATATAACGTGCAGCAACAATGGGTCAAGTATTTTATCATTTTTTTAGGCGAAACTCGATACTTTTTTCTACACAGCTGTAGGATCTGGTTGTGGAAGTGTGTCATACCTTCTACCGTGTGTACAATGATCTCCACCCGTGTACACTGTCGGGGTTACTACGACAGGAAGGCGAGTATCAGTATTACCAGCAAGAGAAAGAGCACAAACTGTGTTAACAAGAGGAAGAAAAGATAGGTACAGCAACAAATGTGTCTACAGGAGAACGCTACAGCAGCAGGAAGAGGCAGGTGGCAAGGAGTATCGGGAACATGCGCCGTGGCGAGCTGAGAGGGAGGGAGGGAGAGGGACCCGACACACACCTCTCACTCAGTGATCCCCGGACCATCGGTGTGAGGCCGTCTTTCACCACCGCTCCATTTTACTACACAATATCTTCCCTACTCTCCTTACAACCCAAGGTAGGAACTGAGAGACCTTACATAGTGTTTATGTAGCAACAGTGTGCGAGAGAGAACAAGCGGGTGAGAGAAGGAGAACTATGAGGAGAGAGGAAGGGGAGGGAGGTGGCCAACGTCGCTACCATATGGTTGACCCAACACCTGTTTGTAGGTTACTGCCTGCCTCCACACCCACCACCCCTAACTTCTATCTTTATAAACAAACAGTAACTGCAGACCTTCCTGCTCTAGTGTACACGAGAGGGATATATGACAGAGGGATGATACAGGATCGATTACAAGATTAAATTCCAAATATAGAAAAGCGATACAGGAATCACCAGACACACACTCACTGATGCTTAACACTGGTTGAGAGAGAGAGACAGAGAGAGAGAGATTTCAATTATCTCAAAACAGCCTTGCCTACTAAAAAGGCATTAATCATCATCATCATCATCATCATCATCATCATCATCATCATCATCATCATCATACCAATTTTCTCTCAAGTTAAAATAATAAATAAACAAACATAATTTAAAACATCTCTGGAAGCTATTTAGTCACTGATTATATAATACACACACAGTATATGAGGCAGACTAAGAACATCATCACTACAGGAACCTGACTTTGTGTTACAGTCTAATTTAGCATTATTGGTTGAGTTACTACAGAGTCTACCGTATGTGAACCGTAAAGCTGACACACACACACACACACACACACACACACACACACACACACACACACACACACACACTAGTGGAAAGAGAAGTGTGTATGGTAATCGGTGTGACAATTTAGTTCGACTGTACGCGTAATGATCTGATGAGGGTGTTTTGTCCAGTAGAAAATGGGTGGTGTTTTGTCCAGTGGGAAATGGGTGGTGTTTTGTCCAAGTGGGATATAGATGGTGCTATGTCCAATGGGTGGTGTTTTGTCCAATAGGTGTTATACTGTCCAGCAAGATAATAACCAGAGCAAAATTGTCCAGCAGTAACGAGAAATAATTCACTTTTTTGTGGGGGTTAATTAAGAGGTGTTGACATTAATTACTGTAGCTAGGCTTTTATTTATTTACACTAAAATATATATATTTACTTTTGTTTGACTTCTATGTGTACCGGCTCCCATGATTCTCTCTCCCCACCCACGATTCTCTCCTCTCCCCACCCATGATTCTCTCCCCACCCACGATTCTCTCCTCTCCCCACCAATGATTCTCTCCCCCTCCCCACCCATGATTCTCCCCCCTCCCCACCCATGATTCTCTCCTCTCCCCACCAATGATTCTCTCCCCCTCCCCACCCATGATTCTCCTCTCCCCACCCACGATTCTTCTCCCCACCCACGATTCTCTCCCTCCCACGCATGATTCTCTCTCCTCTCCCCACCCATGATTCTCTCTCCTCCCCACCCATGATTATCTCCTCTCCCCACCCATGATTCTTTCCCTCCCACCCATGATTCTCTCCCCTCCCCACCCATGATTCTCTCCTCTCCCCACCCATGATTCTCTCACTCTCCCCACCCATGATTATCTCCTCCCCACCCATGATTCTCTCCTCTCCCCACCCATGATTCTCTCCCTCCCCACCCATGATTCTCTCCTCCCCCACCAGATTCTCTCCTCTCCTCCCCCGATTCTCTCCCTCCCTACCCATGATTCCCTCCCTCCCTCCCTACCCATGATTCCTCCCTCCCTCCCACCCATGATTCTTCTCCTCCCCACCCACCCATGGTTATAAGGCCACCTGTGACGCACCATTATTGGCCAAGAATTGATTCTTTTGCTGATCGATAACTGATAAGATATACCCTGATATTTTTACTGTGTGTGTGTGTGTGTGTGTGTGTGTGTGTGTGTGTGTGTGTGTCTGTGTGAGTTGCCTGTGTGACTATTTATTTATGTGTGTGTGTGTGTGTGTGTGTGTGTGTGTGTGTGTGTGTGTGTATGTATATGTGATTTATGTGTGTGTGTGTGTGTGTGTGTGTGTGTGTGCGTTGTGTTGTGTGTGTGTGTGTGTGTGTGTCTGTGTGTGAGTTGCCTGTGTGACTATGTATTTGTGTGTGTGTGTGTGTGTGTGTGTGTGTGTGTGTGTGTGTCTGTGTGTGTGTGTGTGTGTGTGTGTATGTATGTGTGATTTATGTGCATGTGTGTGTGTGTGTGTGTGTGTGTGTAACTGGGTGAAGCACAATGTCCACTGAGCCATCGGTACACAAGGTATCAGCGTGACCGTTAACACTGTACTCGACCGCCTTCACTTCCGCAACAGTAACGTCAGGTGTCCCCTTACTGTACTGTACAACTGCAGGGTGGACTGGGGATCGAACCAGTGACTCTCCAAGTCGTGAGGCGATCTTTGTATCCAATCGGCTACAGCTAAGTGACTGCTCTCTCCTCATGACTTAACTCTTGGTGCAGTGTGGCTGTTGTACTGATGGTGGCAGCTAACCTAACCTAAACTAACCAAACCTAACGTAACCTAACCTAAACTAACCTAACCTTAACTAACCCAACCTTAACTAACCCAACCTTAACTAACCCAACCTAACGTAACCAAACCTAACCTAAACTAAACTAAACTAACCTTAAGGAAAGTCCCGCATAATTCTTAACCATTCCTGCACTTTATATCTACAAAAATCCGGGGGAGAGGATATTTTGAAAAAGTTTCCCTTGAAAAAGAAAACAATCAACTTTCCTTCAATCGTAACTCCTTGAGGATGACATACCATCACCCAGACCTTTTATTTACAAACCAGACGGGATGATTGATGTGTTGCAACCAATCACAGAGCAGATCATTGTGAACGAGGTCAATGGTCATTATCGACAGTGGTAAATGGATTGTTTTTGCTTCGCTGGGATTGTATGGCACAAAGTAATAAATATTTTGACCTTGAAATCAAATATATGACATTATGTTAAATTTCATACACACTATATAGTCGCCGATATACCACAATAACAAGCTTCTCCTGCTGTATGAACAAGGTGCTTTAAGCTTCAATTTTCAACGTGTATTACTCAGTAAACATAGTGAGCTTCAACGTGCTTCACAGAGCCTCACAACACAGGTCAGAAACATTAGCCTAACGCGTGTCAGACAACCCGGGGTCTGGAGGAGGATGGAGCCAAGATCCTCACTGGGTTCTTTATCTTTTATCACTAATATGAACAAAATAATACCGTAACACCTGAAGAATAGAACCCCCCAGTTTATTTCACCTGATGATTAACAACAATAATTCTAATCCTAACCCAACCCGACCTAATACAACCCATCCTAACCCAACACAATCCAACCAAGGTTCCCACATTCATTCTTTCAAGAGAAAATAAAAGAAAATCCCCCAGCCTTAATCTGCATCTCCATTATGCCAGATAATTGAATTCCATAAAATATTTAAATTAAAATCAATATGGTTCCCAGATGGTGGAGCGCAGATGGACGATGTGACAAGATAAAAGTTTACAGTGGTAACCTAACCTAACCTAACCTGTAACATCCCCTAACCTAACTTAACCTCATGCAACGCCACCTGACCTAACCTAACCTAACCTAACCTAACCTAACCTAACGCCACCTGACCTAACCTTCACACGGGGCTGTAAGTTGAGGGAGTGTCTTTCAGCCTCATCAGGACAGGGAACTACTTACCCCGGCAGACTACAGTGTGTACTATGGGTAAATTAAAGGGTGGTACAGGGCGGAGGGCGGAGGCTGGGTGGGCGGAGGGCGGAGGCTGGGGGGCGGAGGTGGGGGGGCGGAGGGCGCGGAGGCTGAGGGGCGGAGGGCGGAGGGTGAGGGCGGAGGTGGAGGGCGGAGGCTGGGGGGCGGAGGCTGGGGGCGGAGGGCGGAGGTTGGGGGGAGGCTGGGGGCGGAGGGCGGAGGGCGGAGGCTGGGGGGGCGGAGGCTGGGGGGCGGAGGGCGGAGGGCGGAGGGGGGGTGGGGGGCGGAGGGCGGAGGCGGAGGCTGGAGGCGGAGGGCGGAGGCTGGGGGCGGAGGGCGGAGGTTGGGGGCGGAGGGCGGAGGTTGAGGGCGGAGGGCGGAGGCTGGGGGCGGAGGGTGGGAGGCTGGAGGCGGAGGGCGGAGGCTGGGGCGGAGGGCGGAGGCTGGGGGCGGAGGGCGGAGGCTGGGGGCGGAGGCGGAGGCTGGGGGCGGAGGCGGAGGCTGGGGCGGAGGAGGAGGCTGGGGCGGAGGGCGGGTTTAGGTTATGTCGCTCACACAGTCAACTAGTGGCGGAAAATTGTGTTAATGAAGGATGTAAACACGATCAACAACGCGTGGTGAACAGTGAGAGGAGGGGAGGGGTGGAGAGGGGAGGTGGTGGTGAGGGGGGATTGATTTTTATTTTGTTGCCAGTGGTTACTTTATTGTGCACCCCACACTCATCCTGTGAGAGCGGTAGCAAAAGGACAGAGTAGGGTTTACAAAGGGTCATAATAATTAACGGTTGTCAGGGGTGGTGGTGAGGGGAGGTGAGGAGGGGGAGGTGGTGAGGGGAGGAGGAGGAGGGGAGGAGGGGGTGAGGGGGAGGAGGTGGTGAGGGGGGAGGGAAATTATGGTACAGACACAAGTTAATGACTGGTCACTAGTCTCGGAGACCTAACTTATGTAACAGTCCGCCGTCTAGCATCCGTCCGCCCGTCTAACTGACGACAAACACTCATGATAATACACAAATTTGAGAATAAAACTGTCGAGCTGAATAACAATTACGACAGCAGACAAGTCCCCAGGTACACTCTACGGCTTTAAGGTAAAATTTGTGAGTCAAATTTTTATAGTGTAAATAATAATGATGAGTTGAGCCAGCCGCCCCTGGAGTTCTCCGACACACCGGGTGTAATTTCCGGGGCTCACGCTATCCATTAATAATTCAGAGGCAGGTGGTATAGGAAGTGCCTCCACGGAATTTGACCCATTCAGCGAGGGCCTTTGAGTGTTTCCGCGTCACCGCTGCTCCCCCTGACGGCTGTGACGTCTACCAAGTGACAGACGCTTCCC